TTTTGGCATGGTGAGAATCCAACACCATGCTTGCTTAGATCATTTGCAAGCTCTCATGCCTAAAACCTAAAGGCATAACACAAATGCTAGTCCATAGCTAGCTTAAAGCCACATTAGGCTCGTCTCTTCCCATGAAACTCATAAGCCTTTTTCCTTATTCTGGGCTAACAGCATGTATGATGGACAGCTTACATCTTACCTGTCCCACCTTGTGGAACTCAAGTGTGCTACCTCAACCATAGCACACCTATACTGAATTACCATAAGGGTCTAACAGTGTACCTACCTACTAGCCTGTTCATCATTTAGGTTTAATGGTACCCCTCCTACACAAACACCATTTCGTGATCCTTGGTTACTTATCGATTTGGCTCAAAAAGGAGAAACCAAAAGGCATAGCGAATGCTAGTGTCTAACCTCTTGGTTTTACAAAATGGTGCGATATAAGGCCCATTAACCCCGACTGCCCTAGGTTTACCATGACCCAAGGAGACATCGTGCCACACTCATGATCTAATAATGCCCACCCACCTAGAGACTACATGTTCCTAGGAGTAGCTCACTACAAACTAGCAAGGCCCTACTCACTTGCTAGCCAAAAGGGTAATGGAAAGCTGACACCAGTCGTCCCCCTATAAAAAATGTAAAAGATTTTCTAGCCATCCTACCGAAAATAATAAGACTATCATAAACGGGGACACTTTACTCCTTAGCAATCTTAAAGCCTTTCTTTAGCCAACTCAAGGCATAGTGATCTTTATCTTGGTCACCATGATTCTCATATTCTTCTCGTTGCTCTACCAACTCACTCGAGGGTGTATGAATATGGCTTGACCGATAGTAGTTGACTGGCTACTAGGCTTAGAGCACCCACACACTAGCCTTACACTAGCTTACACTTGTCTGTCCATCTTGGGACTAGGGCACATACTACCCACACACTCTATCAGCATATGTTCCTTAGCATATACTACCCGTGCATAGCTCTAAGACCACTATCCTGACTATAAAACCTTGACCACTGCTCAGCTCAAGGTTAGTCATGGCAGAACCAAGGCACACCAAGGCTTGACCATGACATTGGGCTCAGGCATGTGATGGTGCCACATTTTTTTGCCTAAGGCACCATCATTGGAATATCACTAGAGAACTTGACTGGATGAATTTGGGGTTTTAGCGATTGGGGGAAGTGGCTGGGGGGTTTGCACACATGATGTGCGATGGATGCTAGTCCTTGGCCTATAAATTAGCCCCCTATCCCTTAAGGAACCTTAATAACTCACACCCCCTTAAAGAGTATAAAAGCTATAATAGGTTTGTAGCCAGTAGCCAGTAGCCATTCAAGTGTTTGAAATGAGTATGTTTTTTTCAAATGGGCATAAAATCCTTTACGCTTTAATTTTTTAGTTGAATTTTTTTATGGATGCCAACAAAAATACAAGGATCATGTATAGCAAATTGGGGTCAAAACTCCTAAAAAAGTTTTAAAAAATCCTAAACTGTGAAAAATTCTAAAAATCATGAAAAATAGAAAACAAATCATCTTGCCATGAAACTTCACATGAAGGCTTAGGGGACAGTTATATGAATTTACAAGTCATAAAAATGGTATTGGCATAGTAAAAATATGAAGATGTACCTAAATCCACTTACTGCCCGGTTGTGATGCACAGCTTAGCATGTGTTAATGGTGTTTAAAGAAACTACCCGTACCATGGGCCAGCATGTACCAATGGTTAACAAAGCATATGCCAGACCAAAGGCCAACATGTATCGATGTTGGTCAAGGCATGCAAATGTGTCATAGTTTACAAGTTGGTCCAGGCCTAGTGGTTCTCTTCAAGTTGATGAGCAGTTCTAATTCTAGTAGGATAGAGTCGAGGCATGTGCAAGTGTCACGATCTGTATGCTAGTCCAAGCCCAGAAGTTCTATTCGAGTCAAAGAATAGTTCCAGTTCTAATGGGAAAAAGTTTGACAACCAAGGGGACCAAGCTTTGAGGCGTATTAGACACCCAGGTCATAAGGAACTAGCCCAAATAGTGGTATGGGCAATGTTCAAGACTCAAAGGACTCAAACCCAGAGTTTAGGTTTAGTAAAATTGAACCAAGCTCAAATTTAGGCACTGGTGAGCGTTATATTAATTTATAGGCATAAAAATGCATTAGCATGATAGAAATATGAATATGTGCTCAATCCCACTTACTGTTCATTTGTGGTGTACAGCCTAAGCCCAAAATACTTGTGTTTGGTGTGTGACCCAACATGCACCGATGGTGTTTGAAGGAATTGTCTGCACAAAAGGCTAGCATGTGTTGTTGGTGGTTAAAGCAAGTCTAAGACAAAGGGCCAACATATCCTGATGGTAATTAAGGCATGTGCTCGTGTCATGTTATACAAATAGGTCTAGGCCTAGGGGTTTTTTTTTAGTCAAGTAGTAGTTCTAGTTCTTGTGGGATAGAGTTTAACAGCCAAAAGAATTAGGCCTTAAGGTGTGCTAGAGGTCTAAGTCATGGGGAACAAGCCTAAAATAGTGGTATAAGTAGTGATCAAAACTCTAATGACTCAGGCATGGTGTTCAAGCTTAGTAGAATTTAGCCAGGCAATGTAGGCATTGGTGAGCATTATATGAATTTACAAGCCATAAAAATGGCATTGGCATAATAAAAATATGAAGATGTGCCTAAACCTACCTACGGCCCAGTCATAGTATGCATGATGCACTACCCAGGCCTAGGATACCCATGCTTGGTGCGTGGCCTAGCATATGTCGATGGTGTTCAAGGGAACTACCTATACAAAAGGCTAACATGTGCTGATGGTGGTTGAAGCATGTGCTAAGCCCAAAGTCTAACATGTCCAGATAGCGGTTGAAGCATGCATATGTGTCATAGTTCACAAGCTAGTCTAGGCCCAAAGGTTCTCTTCGAGTTAAGAAATAGTTCTAGTTCTAGCCAAACAAAGTCAACAGCCAATAGGACTAAGCCTTGAGGCATATTAGACATCTAAGTCATGTGGAACTAGCCTATAATAGTGGTATGGGTAGTGATCAAGACTTTAGTAACATAGGCGTGGTGTTCAAGTTTGGAAAAATTAAGCTAGGCCCAGGTGTAGGTGCTGGTGAGCATTATATGAGTTTATAAGCCATAAAAATGGCATTGGCACAACAAAAATATGAAAATATGCCTAAACCCACCTACTACGTGATTATGGTGCACATAGTGTGTAGCCCAGGTTGAGGATATCTGGACTTGGTGCGCGGTTGAGCCATGTGCATGTGTCATAGTCTGCAAGCTGCTCCAAGCCCAAAGGTTTTTTTTAAGTCAAGAAGTAGTTCCGATTCTAATGGGACAGGGTCTAACAACCAATAGGACCAAGCTTTGAGGTATACAAAAGGCCTAGGTCATGGAAAATTAGCCCGAAACAATGGTATTGGCAATGATCAAGACTCCAGAGGCTTAGGCACGGTGTTTAAGTTTGGCAAAATTGAGTCTAGCCTAGGTACGAGTGTAGGTGAGCGCTTATATTAATTTACGAGCCATAAAAATGGCATTGGCATTGCAAAAATATGAAGATGTGTCTAAACTCGCCTACTACCTAGTCTGCTACACATTGTGCATAACTTGAGCCCAAGATACCCACGCGTGGTTCACAACTCAACCTGTGCTGATGGTGTTCAAGGGAATTGCTTGCACAAAGAACTAGCGTGTGCCGAGACCAAGGGCCAACATGTCTCGATAGTGGTCGAGGCATGTACATGTATCATAGTTCTCATGCTAGTCTAAACCTAGATATTCTCTTCGAGTCATGAAGCAATTCCAGTTCTAGTGGGATAGGGTTTGACTATGGAGAGGACCAGGCTTTAAAGCCTATTGGAGGCCCAAATTGTGAGGAACTAGCCCAAAATAATGGTGTAGGTAGTGATTAAGACTTCAAAGGCTCAGGCACGATGTTTAGGTTTGACATAATTGAGCTAGCCCCAGGTGGCATTAGTGAGCGCTTATATGAATTTACAAGCCATAAAAATGGCATTGGCATGGCAAAAATATAAAGATATGGTTGTATCCACCTACTGTTTGGTTGTGGTGCACATAGTATATAGCTCAGGCCTAGGATATCTGTAAGTGGTGTGTGGCCTAGCATGTATCGATGGGTTCAAAGGAACTATGTGCACAATAGGCAAGCATATGTCTATGGTGGTTAAAACATGTGCGAGACCAAGGGCCAACATGTCCTGATGGTGGTCAATGTGCATGTGTCATAATCTGCAAGTTGGTCTAGGCCTAAAAGTTCTCTCCAAGTCGAAGAGTAGTTTTATCTCTAGCGACTAACAGCCAGGGGGACCAAGCCTTAAGGTATACTAAAGGCCCAAGTCACACGAAACTAGCCTAAAACTATGGTACGGGCAATGATCAAGACTCTAAAAACTCAAGCATGGTGTTTAGGTTTGACAGAGTTGAGCTAAACTTAGGTGCAAGTGCTGTGAGCAATACGTGAGCACACAGTCAGACCCAAGTGTAGGCACTAATGATTAAGGTATGAGTGCACGGTTAGACCCAGGTGTAGGCATGCCTAATCATAATTCGGGGAGGATCAAATTTATGGGCTTCTAAAAGGCTTGGACTACAGCATAATTTTTGACAAGCTAGAATTATGCTAAGCACTTGAGTTTTGTATGCTAACTTAGGTAGGCAGAGTCAATTCCCTATGCAAGCTTACATGGAGTTTGGCTTGAGACCAGAGCCCATGACACATGCACCGATCATCATTTGGTGCTAATGGCAATCAAAGGGTAGACAATGACTTGGGTGGAAGGGTCACAGTACACATGCTACACCAAGTGTTAACATCTATCAAAGAGATATTTAAAGTAACAACCTATACCAAGTGCCAACATTTGGCGGTGGTGTCCAAGGCAACATCTCACACCAAGGGGCAAGCATCTGCTGATGGTGTCCGAGGTAACAATAGGTCAACATCTATCAATGGTGTATGATGCAAATGCCCACACTAACCAAGGGCCACATGATGTTGATAGCATTTGAGGCAACAGCCTACACCAAAGGCCAAAATGTGTCAATGAGGTTCAAGGTAAGTGCCCATACCAAGGGCGAGCCAATCCTTGCAACAAATGCCAAGGGCATTTGGTTATCATTACGTTAGATGCTTAAGGGAGGGATGTCATTGCTGGACCAAATTGGTTGCAATAAAAAACACCATTCATTCCCTACCTCAAGGGGTACGGTCTAAAAAAAAGAAGTGAAAGGACTTTGGTAGATGTGGGGTATGAAAAAGATGAATAGAAGCAACAAAGGGTTGAATTTCAGTGGATCGTGGTAGCAAGGCCACTTTACCAATTACAATTCCCCATCACATATTTAAGTCATCCATAAAGGATTCCAACTATCACTCAGTGGGAATTAAGCTCCAAGTAGGCCCATGATGCTTGTCTGTCGTAGGTGCTACACCTATAACATGTGCCCTTAGGGGTCATGGGACCCTATTGTAGGTTGACAATCGAGTGATGAGAGCGTGCGTTGGTTCTAGCCTAAATTCTTACTTAAAGGCATTTAGTCAGCATACAATAGCTTTGCGCCATTAGCATTTCAACCAAGCGCGATGACCAATTATGTGAGTCGACGGTTCCTCTCGTACTAGGTTGAATTACTATTGCGATACTACCATCAATAGGGTAAAACTAACTTATCTCACATTAGTCTAAACCTAGCTCACATTCCCTATTGGTGGGTGAACAATCCAACATTTGGTGAATTCTACTTCATAATGATAGGAAAAGCCAACATTGAAGGATCAAAAAGCAATGTTGATATGAATGATTGGTTGCCACAAGCCAGTTATCCTTATGGTAACTTTTCTAACACCTCTAGCTTCAAATTTTAAAGGTCTAAAGGATCGATGGGCCATACTTTCATAGTTTGTATTCATACTAGGAATCAAAATCAAACAAGCTTTTACCCTTTTGTTCCACACGAGATTTCTATTCTTCTTAAGCTCATCTTAAGACACTTGTGTTATTTTTTTACATATATGCCGTCCCAGCCAAACTCCTCTCCTAACAATGTTTTCCACCTAGATCAACTAATCAAAGCTGGCCTTGGGCTAAAAGAAAGTCCGTACCCCACCTTCGATTCATAGAATATGTAAAATAATGTTAAAAGTAGTGGTATTTCAATGTTGCCCGAGGGCTCCCACTTATCCTAAACCTTTCAAGTCGTTTCACAAAGTTAGACTAAGTGAAGCTCAATAGGGTCTTTTTTCCCTACTGATTCTACCAAGCTAATTCCCTTAGTTGTGGTTTCATTGGATAGTAAATAGGGACAGTGGGAATCTCATTAATCCATTTATACACATCACTAAATAGATGACAAGGCATTTGGCTACCTTAAGAAAGTCATAGTTACTCCCGCCATTTTCTCATACTTGGTTGAATTTCTTCACTTTGACATTCAAAGCACTAGGTAGAAATCACATTGCATGAGCATCGATAAAGACCATCACAATGCTTTATTTTAATTAAATAGTTAGATTCCTCTTGTCAGTACCAGTTTTGAGTCGACTATTTATCACTTGGGGAAGGCCATCGAGGGAGTTGTTCCTAGTCCTTCTCTTGGCTAGCTTGCAACGACCCATTGTTGCTGTGGGAGTAGATTGAGCAAATGCACTAGTAACCAATGAGTTCAGGACTAGGACCCCTATGCCCAGCCTTCAGAGCCAATCCCATTTCCCTAGGTTATGGATCCATTTTGCCAACTTCTCTTGCCTACATTATCTGATCGACTAGAGGCTATTCATTTTGGAGACTCTGATATGGTTGTGACTATGATCGGGTGTGGAAAGCACTCAATCCTTCAAATTTTCAAGGGCTATTAGGGGTGCACTAAACACCATTAGACATGCAATGCTCTTCTAGATGCTGGACCCTACCTCTAGCTAAACCATTTCTAGGGTGGGCAAGCCATTAAATAGAATAGCTAACTCATCTCGAGGCCCTCACCTATATCTCTAAACTCCCTAATGTTGCTGTTAACCATCACATCCCAGTTCAAAAATTTTAACTCGATTCCTTTCCAAAACTCACGCTAAACATGCTATCGAATAGGCTTTCTCTATCTCTTAGGACTGACTAACCTTTATGTAAGTGCCATTCTCATGAAACCTTTCCACTTTTCAGCCTTCAAAGTTTTCATTTGAATATTTGCTACTACCACCAAGATTTACACCGATAGTCGCTCTACCTAGGCTCACACCTTAGATTTTATGGTGACTACTATACCTTCCTACTTATTGGGGTTTGGCCCTTGCCCCAATGGCTAGGTATAGGTCACACACTTCAGTGCCATCCATTTTTAGGGCTACTTAATCTGGCAAGTGAGTTGTTACTCACTCCTTAGTAGATTTTGACTTCCATGACCACCATCTTGCTATCTTAATCGACCAACACCCTTTATAGGTTCTAGGTTAGCATGTAGTTAGGCACTATAATCCTGTTTCTGGTTCATATGACATCGCTAGTTTTGCTTACCAAAAATGGCTAACTTGGAGCTCTTGATTCCATGGCACAACTTAATGAAGTAGTCATACCATCTTACCTACTTAAAATTTGAGAATAGGTCGAGGGTGTTGCACCCTTGATACCTTAATCATTAGGTTTGTTAGATAGAACTCACTAAAGGCTTTAGTTATCCTGAGGGAAACTTTAGATGGAACCAACTACTAGACGGTTTGATTAGTCTTTCATCCCTATATCCAAGTTAGATGAATGATTTGCACATTAGTATCACTATGGGCCTCCACTAGAGTTTTCTTTGGCTTTGTTGCACTCAGTCATAGTTCACCATCTTTTGGGTCCTAACAGGCATGCTCACATTTGAACCTTTCTCAGAAGATCAAGGTCGATCGACAATGCACTTGAAAGGGATCCCACCAATCTAATTTCTTACACCTTATGGGTTTTCTAGCCCGTTGACTCGTACACATGTCATACTCATTGGCCTGTGTTTCAAGATAAGACAGATAGGGAGCCTACAGGTCGATATCAGGAGCATGCCAATGCCAAGACAAGTCGAGATGGTACATGTTGAATTCCATAATCGTGGCAATGACATCTACGTGGGCATATCAAAAGTTTAGGCTTAGGCCATCGTAGCAACCAAAATTGATCTAAGCCCTGAGCTAATCAATGGACCCACTATCATTTTCCACATCCAACCTGGGTGTATTGCTGGCCCCCATCTATTTCCCTCATGACAATTTCAAGCACTCTTGACTAGTTTTTCAAAGTCTTTTTCATTTTTCCATTACAGTACTTGTTCACTAACTATCTCTTGCTTGTATTAATCCTTGGATGGAATTTACTGCCCATTTAGGGTTATATTCCCAAACAACTTGACTCATAGATAGCACTTTATGGTGTGATAATGTCTAGGTACAATGATGCTCTCACCCTATTTGGGGTTCATTTCTCGAGGACTTGGCCTAGTTCGCTATCGAAGACTTCTTCGAACTATAATTTAGACATCAAGGGTGCCCAATTCTCTAGCTGGGCTCTTCTTGATTCGTATGCATTACTAGGGGAATCCTAATAAGTTTTTTTTCCTTTAATTATTGATATGTTTGAACTCAATGGGTGATCCCATTTAACTTAGGGTTGTGATGCAAGCATTGACCAAGTGATGTAGAGGGTCTAATGGGGTTTGGATGGACAACGAGCGTGCGTCACTGGAGATGAGGCATGTCGGGAGCCTTATCACTGACAATCACTACTCTATCATTGCCATGGACTCACTTTTTGACTAACCAGGACTAATAAGATAACGAAAGGTCATCTTCCACCCTTTTACCTGGAGCTTGATAGGTGGAGGGTTGGAGGGGGCGACGATACATGACACCCAGGTAGGTGTGCCCTTGGCCTAATGGCCTTGGGTGTAATTTGTGTTCAAAGGCTTGATGGTTCATAAGATTCTACAATTCACACCAAGTATCACATTTTGCTATATTCTTCATCAATGCAAAGCTGAGATATCCATTGCTGAGAGTTGTTTTATTTTTTCAGAAAAAAAGACATGATGCTACCTATGCACGCATTGCAAATGGGATAGCGACAGCACGCGTGCTCTTTTTCATTTTGGTTCCTTAATGCAATTCATGTTAGGGGTTCATTATTCAGCTATAGGTGATGATACCAAGCATTTCTTCTCCAAAGATCAAGGCTGATCGATAGTGCACCCTCAAAGGACCTCGCCAATTAGCTTTCTTGTGCCTTATGAGTTTCTTAGCCCGTTGAGTTGCCATAGTGCTACCCACACATGTATCGTGAATAGGATAGTGATAGCACATGTGTACTTTTTTAATCTAGCTCTTTAGTGTGATTTACGCCAAACGATCATTATTCGGTTAGAGGTGATGATGCCAATCATTTCATTTACTAGGAAGGCATAACGAAGTGACTGTTGTGCATGTCGAGGGTTGGAAAGGGCTCAAGGCATGGAAGCACCCTTGCCTTCTTATTGTTTCAAGGAAATGACCCACTAGGCCACACCACAACCACTTGGCATAAGAAAAAAACAAGCAAGGGCCACAAGACTGCCCATGCCATCCAATAGGCAATAATGGCACGACACCACTAATGCTTGGTTTGGTCGAGATTGCACATGCACACTCTGCTGTCACTAACCCAAGGTGATATTGCCTAATTCAATGACTTGTTCCTTAGGTCTTGGTAGCATTGGCTACATGCACGAGCTTGGCCAGGGTAAAGCATTTTTTAGGTTAATGAGAAAGGACCCTGAGACAACCAAATACCAAAGAGACTTGGCCAGACTAAGCTCGCGATCATAGTTTCTGCTTGCACTGCCCTAAGAGCTATTACCTAATTAAGGGACTTAGTCTTAGGGTATGGGGCAGCATCAGCTGTAAGCACAGGCTTGAGCTTGACCTTTTTTGAGTGCACACCAACTGGTAAAGGCCATAGGCTCTTGTAGGTCACTGGAGCATCTAGTCTTTGGACAACATGACCTGAAGGCATGCACAACTTAGATTTTACCCCAGGGACATTGGCATGGATGTACGTAATGAGAGGCCCATCATGCACACCTACTCCCCTATGGGAGGAAAAGAAAGCGCCTGAATAGCCATCCCCTAAAGAGCATAAAAAATTTTACAAATATGCTAGAGTAGACATTAAAAGTGTCTAAAATAGGGACACTTTTTTCAAATGGTATGTCCTGCACCAAGGGTCTGTAGGTGCCAATGGTGATCAAGACATGTGCCCATACCAAGGTCCAGCATCTACCGATGGTGTTTAAGGGAACTACTTTCATAAAAGGCCATCTTTTTCCAATGCTAATCGAGGCATGTTCCCACACCAAAGGCCAACATGTGCTGATGGTAGTCAAGGTGAATGCCCATACTAAAGGCTAGCTTGTGTCGATGATGGTCAAGACAAGTGTCTGTACTATAGGCCAGCTCATGCTAATGATAGTCTATGCCTGCACCATGCACTAAGATGTGCTGATGATGGTCAAGGCCTTGGTCAAAGTTTGATTTTAGGCCATAGTGCACACGTTAGGCTTAGGTATGTGCGGGTGCTACCTTTTTTCACCTAGGGCATCATTGTTGGAGCATCATTGGAGAACCTAACTAGCAACATTGGGGTTTCAATGATTAAGGGAGGGGTCCAGGGGGTTTACACACATAATGTGTGATAGGTGTTAGTCCTTAGCCCGTATACGAGCCCCTTATCCCCTAAGCAACCTCGACAACTCACACCCATTTAAAAATCATAAGAGCTTTTATAGGTTTGTAGCCAGTAGCCATTCAAGTGTCTGAAATAGGGATTTTTTTTTAAATGGCCACAAAATCATCTACACTTTGATTTTTTAACTGAATTTTTTTGTAAATGCTAATAAAAATACAAGGATCATATATACCAAATTTACGATCAAAACTCTTAAAAATTTTTAAAAAATCTCAAACCATAAAAAAATCTAAAAATCATAAAAAATAAAAAATGAGTCATCTTATTATAAAACTTCACATGAAGGCTTAGGGGACCGTTATATGAATTTTCAAGCCATAAAAATTGCATTAGCATGGTAGAAATATGTACATGTGCTTGAACCCACTTGCTGCCCAGTCGTGGTGCACATGCTGTATAGTTTAGGCTCAAAATATCCTTACATGATGCAAGCCCAACATGTACCGATGGTATTTGAAGAAACTACCTGCACAAAAGGCCAGCATGTGTTGACATCGAGGGCTAATATATCTCAATGATGGTTAAGGCATGTGCATGTGTCACGGTCCATATGCAAGTCTAAGCCCAAAGGTTCTCTCTGAGTTGAAAAGCAATTTTAGTTTTATGGGGACAGGTCCAATAGCTAAGAGGACTAGGCCTTGAGGTTTATTGGAGACTTAGGTCATGGAAACTAGCCTAGAACAGTGGTATTGGCAGTGATCAAGACTCAAGAGGCTCAGGCATGGTGTTTAAGTTTGACAAAAATAAGCCAACCTTACGTGCAGGCGTTGGTGAGCACTTATATGAATTTACAAGCCATAAAAATGGCATTGGCACGACAAAAATATGAAAATATGCCTAAACCCGCCTACTATCCTGT